TGGGGCTTCCCGCCAATCTGCTCAGCTTTCCAGCTTTCCGAATGGACTTTCTGTGCAGGCACAAACCCTATTGTGTGAAGCACAGAGACAACAAAGAAGAACATTATCTTATTGCTAATTTGACCAGAGGAGAAATTTGGTTACAATCAGAGAGGAAAACTCTTGGCAGAACACGCCAAAACCTGTAATTTAAATCTGCTATGGGAGGTTCTGCTAGATAGTATCTGTACTAATGCCTCAATTCAGCCTACACATTAGGCAAGTCAAGCCAAGCTGTATGGACCGTACACAAGACATTCACCCACACCACACCCTTTCCATGCTTTGGGATCGTTCGCATTCCCTTGTGAATATGACTGTGTTTGCTAACATCTGGACATTTGCTGCATCTAAAGAGCTCCAACACTTTGACTTCAGCCAAATCTGTGCAAGGTGTGCCAGCCAGTTTAAAATAAAAATGGTTTTAAAAAATTAAAGGAGTAATCTTTTACATCATCAACAACATATTCTGTGACAGAATTGGGGGGGGGGGGGAAGCATCCAGTATGACTTACATGCATATATTTCTTATTGGACAGGATACAGTGAGCAATTCTCTAGCTCTTCTCACTCCACCTAAAATGTCTCCCTGGCTCTGGGAAGGGCCGCTGTGACTGCGTTGTTGTATGCCTTCAAGTTGTTTCCAACTTATGGCGACCCTAAGGCGACCCTGTCACAGGGTTTTCTTGGCATGTTTCTTCAGAGGGAGTTTGCCATTACCATCCTCTGAGGCTGAGAGTGTGTGACTTGTCCAGGATCACCCAGTGGGTTTCATGGCCACACAGAGATTTGAACTTTGGTCTCTGGAGTCATTGTCTAATGTTCAAATCACTATACCATGCTGTCTCTCCTAAATAAATCTTACTGAACTCAGTGTGGGACTTAGTTCTGAGCAAACAAGTATGCATAAGATTGGGCTTTATGTGTTGTTTCTTTGGATTTTTTCCCATTTTCCACCAAGCGTAACATGCTTTCTGGTCTAGTAAACTCTTGGCACATAGTATATCATTAGAGCTAGTTTAAATCATTAGACCTAGCTAAATATTAAAGAGTAGAAGTAAAATGGTTCATAGTGCAGACCAGCACATATTTAGACAGCTTAACAATAATACCTTTCAAATTTGAATTTCTTGCAAACTTAACACTGCGTAAGTCTAACTGGGGGAAAAAAGTAATCGTCACTTAATTTAACCCTCCCCCAAACCATTTTCAAGTATCAAATGGCAGTGAGACTTCTATATATGTACCAGTTGCATGGTAGCTGATATTACACATCATTTCTAATTAACCATGTTTTCTCTCTTTTATAGTTTTTTGGATAACAGCAAGCAAATACATTTTTCCACCAAAGGTGACCTATTTCCAAGAGACTTGGGATCTTTTGTTTCCTTCTGGTGCAACTTTGACATTGTTTTTTTGTTCATAAAACAGTGAATCTTATTTGATTACTGTTGTATGCAAACCTATTGTTATTTCAGGGAATTTTATAATTTATCAATTAAATATTTAATTATTTGAATGCTTTCAATCTATATAGTTCAAAAGATGAATTAGTTTCTGCACATATCCCTCACATACAGGCATATCTAAATAATTCCCATTGGTAAAACCCCCATTAGATTATCTCTGTGAACAGAACACTGGACTAGATGGGGTTTTGTTCTGATTCAGCATGGCTTTTCTTAAATTTATGTTTTTGGTATCACTTGTATACATGGAAACCCATTTGAACTCAAGTGAAAATCATAAAATGGTTAAATTGCTTGTATGTAAACATCTGAATTCATTTATTCCAGATTAAATTATGGGTGTGATCTATAATCCTTCCTGAACTATCATATATGGAAGAAGTCACATAATATTATCAGTGTGCTTGTCATTTGTGTTCAGAGGTCCCTTTATGAAGTGCCGTTTATTGTATTGATGGAGAACTAATCAAACAACCTTATAGTGAATTGGCACACTGATTCATCAGTCTCAACACTGTCCACTCTGACTGGACTAACAGCTCTCAAGTTTTCTCATAAGTATTGTCTAGCCCAGGGGAAGGCAACCTTTTAAAGACCTGGGCTGGTCTCCCATAGCCCAGGTCTCGGCTGGGCCGAGGGGGGACAATAGCGGCGCGCGCACTCACGCACGCCCTCCACTGCCGCGTGCGACCCCCCCGTGCACGCTGCTGCTGCCGCCGCTGCTGCTGCCGCCATCACAGCGCGCGCTGCTGCGGCGGCACATATCACGGCCGCCATTTTGGAAATCAAAATGGTGGCCGTGGCGCGTTTGAGCATGCACAAGAGTACTGCGCATGCGCAAACGTGTTGCGACTGCGGCTGCAGAGCGGCAAAAACGTGCTGTGGTGGCGGCGCACAGCGGCGGCGGCAACCTTCGGCCTGGGCCGGTAAGTCGAGGGACCGGGGCCTTAACTGGCCCCCAGGCCGTAGGTTGCCGGTTCCTGGTCTAGCCAATTTGCACACTCTGCTGTGACATTTTGATTCAGCCTAATAAAGGTTTTGCCCAACTCTGAGATTTAGGAATTAAAAGGGATCCTTCTGCATGCCAGTGTGCACTCTGCCATTTCTAACTTCTCTGCATAGAGCTAGTCCAAGGTGTTTGGCTCCCTGAGACAAAAGACATGATGGCACCCCTTTCTCGGAGCAAAAGCAAGAACTCACTGGACTACCAATTGAGTATTTTATGGTGATAGGGTAGCATCCTCCACTACACGTGCAGGGCAGCAGGCCACATTGGAGGACAGGCTATATGGTACATACAGCTCTGTCCTTCAAGAAAAGGAACATCTGGAAAAACAGCAAGGGCCTTTCTGCTACCGCCTCTCAAGCAGTTGTTTCATCTTGCCAAATAATAGAGCTGGTTTGTTCCTTTATATGGAATAAAATGAAAGCTTGCACTGTTAGGTTGCTTAGGCCTTGTTTTCTTCTTGTGGTTGTTAGCTGTATTGAAACATCACTGTGTGTTTATGATAGGGCACCAGGTTTTCAAAGTAGCAAGCTGGGACAGTTGAAATTCTTGCTGCATGGGGGTGTGACAGTACTGTTTAGTAGTGCAATGTACTTAGGAAGTGCCTATTAACAAGGCTGTATTAATACAAAATTATTTATTTTATTTATTTTTCAAATGCCCAAGAGTGATATGTAGGGGGTGTGGAGGGCATTTCCTCCACATTTGGAGCCTCCCTAGGTGTCAAAATGGAAATTTGCAAAATGTTTCAAAACTTGTTTGACTTAAAATGCCCTCTAGGGGCTTAGGAAGGATCCCAAAACATCCCATGTCTCCTGGAAGGTATTTGGGGGCAATACACACACACACACAGAGGAGCAGGTGCAAGGGGGTACACTTCTCGACTTGGAATAATTACCTTTTGGAGTACAGCTCCCAGAATTTACCAGTAAGTATGAGCGAAAGTGTGGAGAGGTTGGAGAAGTTACCTTTTGGAATACATCTCCCAGAATCTGCCAGCAAGCATTGCCACTGGATAATGACCTATACTGGAGAACAGATGGAGGAAGTGCAACCTTGTTGATTCTCATGGATCTCTTGGAGACCTTTGATACACCAGCTCTGCATGTTGAAGGGGGGTGGTTGGGCACAGTGAAATGTTATTTTTGGAAAGTAGTACAGGGGTGGGTGGGTTTCTGCTCAGACCTATGATGCCTCAGCATGCAAGGTTAAATGTTATATGAAGCCACTAGGTGAGATTATCTGAGATTATGGAGTGCACTGCCATTTCTTAACACTTCTATTTCTTGATGTCATAAAAATCAGGTGAGGCTGAGAAAAAGATGGATGGTTGTCTGGATGAAGTAATTGGATGACAGCTAATATATGAAGATATTGTGGGTATGCTTCCCAGGTCCAAAATGTTCTTATATAATTAGTGCTGGACATATCTGTACTCTCCTAGGAAGAACAAGTGTACAGTTTGGGGATACACTTGAATCCACTGCTGTTTTTAAAAGTGGACATGATGGCTTGGGGCACCTTTTAGAGCTTTGTGTGGTTTGCCAGCTGCAGCTTTTCCTGAACTGTGATAGCCTTGCTAAAGTGATTCATACTGTGGCAATCTCTAAATTGGATTACTGTAATGTATTATGTATGCAGCTGCCCATGAAGACAGCACAGAAGATTCAGCTAGTGCAGAATTCAGTAGCCAGGATATTGAGTGGTTTGAGTAGGTGGGGCAACCTAAACCTAATTTGAAGGCATTATATTGGCAGGCTATTTGCTTCCAAGTCCAAATCAAGGACTAAACAGCTTCAAACTCAAATATTTTAAGGGAACCTCCTCCCATACCAACCTGTCTGTTCATTAAGATAAGTGAATGGGGATTTCAGTAAGCCATTATGAAGGTACAAAAAAGGAACCTTTTCTAGGGAATTCTTCAGAGGTCCCAAGTCCCTAGGAACATTTGTCTGGGACCTGTTATGTAGTCTTTTATGTTAAACATTAAACCTTGTTAAAGGTTAGGATGCTTATTTTATTTTCGGTTTTATTCTGTGCTGTTTCTAGTTACTATTTTAACTCTGGTTGTTTGGTGGTCCTTATACTGCAAGCAATAAACATACAGTCACCCAAGCATTTTAATTAGTTTTTAATATGGTGGCATGGTTTTAATGGGCTGATGGGTTGTTTTTATCCCTGTTCATTTTGGACAGATGTAGTATTATGTTTTATTGTTAGATTTACTGTTTATCTTTCTTGATAAAGAAAAATGCCAGGATGGGTTGTAGTGAAATCTGTGCAAATATAAAGGAGGGAAAAAAGGATAGCAACTGAACATTTGAATAGTGGGAAGACTTA